CAGCAAGTGGAGTTGAAGGGAGCCTCCTCCCCCCCAATGTGGGGATGCTACTGGGGACGCCTGAGGGGAGGTACAGCAGAAAGTACTGGGGGTGCCCCGAGACCCTGAGGGCAGAGAGAGGCACCCGAGCCCCACAAGAGAAGGGGCCTCTGGACATATGGCTGTACCCCAGGGCCCCTGACTGGCTATAGGGGTGGGTACAGGTCAGTGTGGTGTTTCCTCTCCTGACCCATGTGTGGACGAAGCTCCTGGGGACAGAGCCAGCTGGTGTGCATCTGTGGTGCCCTGTGTTCTTAGACAAGGCTGTCTTCCAGCTGGGGAAGTGGGAACAACTGGGCCAGGCTGGGGTTGCCAGGATTCCCTTCTGCTTCCCTCCCTCACTGTCCCAGGGCCTTTGCACTCGCTGCTCCTCTTTCCCCAGACACCACCTGCCCAAAGTTCCCAGGTCTGTCAGTCCCCCAACTGCCCCCCAGCCCTCCTGTCTGTGGGCATCACATCTTGCCCACCTCTCAGGTCCTGATGTTTGGGGTTTCACTATTCCTTCAAGAACTAAGTTCGATAGGGAAATCATGGTGTGTTAATGAGGAGAACAAAGCTGGTCCCCTGTGAAGGACGGGACACACATTGAGGTGCTAACTGTTATAGGGGAGCATAAAGCTCGGGAGTTGGAGTGGGAGGGGGCACTGGAAGTGGCAAGGCTCACCCAAAGGTGGAGAGTGGGGAGTCACACAGATGTCTGGGGAGACAGAGTTCAGGCAAAGGGAATTGCATTGCCAAAGGCCCTGAGGTGGGATTCATGGCCTCAAGGACAGCAGCAGACCAGTGTGGCTGGAGTAGGAGAGGAGGAAGGAGGGAGGAGGGAGGGCCAGGCCCCCTCCTGCCCTGACCCTGTAAGATCTGACAGGAGACGGAGACCAGTGAGCATGTGCAGCCAGGGGAGACCTGGGCAATGCCATCCACAAGTAGGCAGAATCAGTAGGTAGATGTGAGAGGAAAAAGAGAGTCCAGAGAGATTCCAGAAAGTCAGGGCTAAGCAACTACTGTTAACAGAGAGGGAGGGCAATCAGGAGGGGACCGCCCAGCCCAGGGGTGTTCGTGAGGAACTGGGCAGGCACTGGTTTAGGGAAGGCCCTACAAAGGCACTCGCTAGCTGTACATTCACGCCTGCATTTCCATATTGTCTGTCTTTCCCCATCCAAACATCTGGGCTGTGCACCACTGTCTCCATAACCCAGACTGTCCAGTGACGGCCCAGGCTGCTGATGGGCACACGACTTGTGTACAGGGGAAGCCTGCATTTGTGGTTCCATCACTCCATTTCCAAGATGCACTTACTCAGCTTAAGGTCTTTGCTTTAGTTTTAGGCCTTTAAAACAGGAAAGGGAAATGGTTAATGAAACACAAAACCTGCCATGGGGTTGGTGGACAGATGTGGTTCCTGGTGGGAAGAGGCTGGCCTGGGCCGGAGATGCTATCTCCTTGTGACCTGAGGGAGACCGGGTTGTTTGTGATGTGTCATAGCATGTGGCTGTAACAGTGTGTCTAGTCTAAGATGAGTGAGGAATGGACTGTCCAGTGGCACCAACTAACCTTATGTGTAAGTGTGCCAGCAGTGGGCTTGTGTGCTGTGTTTGCACGTCAATTTATTGTTTTTTAGAAAGATTGTATTCCAACAGGAGAGTGAGCATTTATAAAAGGAACAAAATTAAATTTATGAGAGCAGTTAACATATTTGAAGCTTTTAAAATTTGTAAACAGAACCCAACATCCATTGGTCCTTTTGGAGTTACCATCAAAACACGCTAGATACCAAATCAGGAGAAAATGGAAACACACCCCCACACAGAAACCTGTTGGACAATTGGGTTGTTTCTGTCTTTGGCTATTGTGAGTTAGGGTACACTGATGAATGGATCCACAAAATGTGGTATGTCTATGTTGGTGCTGTCGAGTTGGTTCTGACTCACAGAGACCCCAGGAAACTCGCCTGGTCTTGCACCTTCCTCACAATCATTGCTCTTTGGGTCCATGGGTGCCACCATGTCAGTCCATCTCATTGAGGGGCTTCCTTTTTCTTTTTAACAAACGTTTTATTGTGAATTGAGTGAAGGTTTACAGACAATATCATCAGCCTTACATTCAACAAATCGATTACAATCCATTCCACGCAACCAGTTAGCCTGCTTCCTCCACGGTGTTCCTGTTTTCATTCCGCCCACCTTCCTATCTCTTCTCAACTTTGTCCTTAGGCATATATTGCCCTTTTGATGAGTCTTCCTCTTTCTTGCTGACCCTCTACTTCACCTAGTTCTTCTCCCATGGGACTGGTCCCTCCTGATAAGATGTCCAAGGTCTATGAGGCAGTCTGGCCATCTTGGCTTCTAAGGAGCATGCTGGTGGTATTTCTTCCAAGGCAGGTTGATTTGTTCGTCAGCGAGTTCACGATCGATTCAGGATTCCTCACTACCACCATTCTTCAAAGGCATCACTGCTTCTTTGGTCTCATTTATCTGTTGTACATCGGTGCCGTGGATCATTAGTCAGTCATGAAAAGGAATGAAGACCTGATACATGCTACGTCACGGGTGGCCCTCAGAAACATGGTCAGTCACAATATTGTTATGATTCTATGTACATAAAATGTCCACACACCCGTACTCTCACTACCACCGAGTCGAAACGTATTCATAGCAACCCTGCAAAGCTTTATAGGAGCAGAAAGCCTCATCTTTCCCCTGTGGAGCAGCTGGTGGGTTTGAACTGCCAACCTTGTGGTTAGCAGTCCAGTGCTTATCCTACAAGTGTCATTTTGTTGTTGCTGTTTTTAAATGCCTTTGAGTTGGTTCTGACTCATAGAGACCCTGTATAGGGTTTCCAAGGCTTTTTAGATCTTTATGGGAGCTGTAAAATGTCCAGGACAGGAGATTGATCTATGGAGACAGAGGCAGACTCTATCCACTTAAGGCTGGGTGGTAAGGGGTGATGGTCAGAGAGGTTCTGAGGCAGAGTGTGTGACTGGAGGAGCAAGTCTGTGACTACACTAGAAACCAATGCTTGTGTACTTGGAACAGATGAATTGTGTAACATATAAATTATATCTCAATAAAGTTGGGCAATGAATAAAGACGACCATAAAAGAATGGATCCATTTGAATTATGGTGATGGAGAAAATTATTCAAAGTGCCATGGACTGCCAGAAAATCCAAGAAATCAGCCTTGGAAGAAGTAGAGAAGGTGGGGAAACTTCGTCTCAGACCTCAGGCATGTTATTAGGTGGGACTAGTCCGTGAAGAAGAATATCGTGTTTGGTAAAATGGATGGTCAGTGAAAAAGAGGAAGACCCCCCAGTGAGATGGACGGGCACAGTGGCAGCAACGGGCTCCAGCGTGACAATTGTGAGGATGGCACAGGATGGCAGTGTTTTGTTCTGTTGGGCACAGTCACTGTGACTTGGAACTGACTTGACGGCCGCTAAGGAAAACAGAGCTGTTATAAAACGAACAGAAGAGAGATTAGTGAGCTGAGGTTTTGAATTTTAAGTGCGGTACTCAAGTTTTTAGGCCCTGATTATGCAATGGTTAAACACTTGCCTGGTAACCAAGAGACCAGTGGTTCGAATCCACTAGCATCTAAAGGAATCTTTTTACTTTCAATATATTAATAGAGTTTGTGGTGTGAATTCTGCGATGTTGAATAAGGGCTGAACTCACACGGAAAGGCCTTCCACGCTCATCACACTCAGAAGGTTTTTCACCTGTGTGTATTCCCTGACGTTGGATAAGACCTGTGCACCCACTGTGCGCCCACTGAAGTGACCTGGTCCTGTAAAGATCACGGCCTAGGAACAGTGGGGAAAAGGTCTCCTCGGGCATGTGGTTGCTGTAAGTTAGAATTACTCTACAGCACACAGCTCATGTTTTAAAGCCTAGTCAGACCTTGGGTAGTAGTTTAATTATCGCTCCTCTGTGCATGGGGGTTAGCCTCTAGGGCAGCCAACAAGAGCCCCTGAAGGTCCCAGAATGCTTCATCACAGGCCATATCTGGAGAGGGTAGCGAAGCGGGGAAGGAGATGGACACACAAGAGTCTGGGGTCTGTGGGGGAAAGAAGGAGGGGCTGGGGACTGAGGATAGAGCAGAGAGAGGAGGGCTGTGGGAAGGGTCACAGACCTCAGGACCAAGAGGAAGTCTGGACCCAGCCTCCACCCCAGGCTCCCACACCCTCTTCCCAGGAAGCAGTGCTTCTGCCAACCCAGAGATTGTAGGTGACTATGTGTCTTCTACTGACCCCGCCGCCCCACCCCCACACTCTCTGGCTCATCCAGGCAACTTGCTTGGGTCTGCTGTCCACCTGCCCCTGATCCCCCTGTGTGCCTCACCCGGCAGGTCCCAGACCCTCATGTTCCCCGGGATAGGCTGCGCATTCCACCAGTGGGCTCCATGCCAGACAGGATGGGGCTGGGAGGCCTGAGGTCATCCGCTGTTAGTTTACAGAGGAGCGTGCGGGGCAGGGACACAGAACCACCTGACTGCAGGCCAGTGCTCAGCTGGACAGAGCTCTGCCCAGTCACTCCCAGGCAAGGAAGGGTCCCACCAGACACATGGTTTAGCACAAAAACCGCCTTTATTGGTGGCTAGATCCAAACACCTGTCCCACCTCCTCTGTTGGCACGTTGGCCTCATTCCCTGAGGTTTGGGGGCTCCAGACTCAACCTCAGACCACAGAGTCAAAGGGGCTCCCTCCTGCCAACTCCAAGGTCCATCTGGGGACGGGCCATCACTGAGTATGCAAGGGGGCGCGCTGACAAGGGGTCCTCAAAGCTGCAGGACATCGGAGTTGTCCGGGAGAGACTTGGGAAGGCGGGGAGACACACCAACCTTTTTCTGCCACAGCAGTGAGGATTAAGGCACTCTTGGCTGTCTGGGTTCTATTGAGGGGAGGCCCGAGCTTCTGGGGGACTCCCCCCGCCCACCCTGGGGTCACCATCTCAACAGAGCACTGCTATTTTTTCCGCCGGGGTGTCTGTGCTCCGCTGCTGCAGCTGTTGGGGGCTAGAGTGGCCTGCTTGCCCGCAGCTCCGGGCTCCTTCTTGGAGGCTGTCCTGTGTTTCTCCTCCCTGTTGGGTGGTGGAGGGCTGGGGACCAGCAAGGCCTGCAACACCCTAATGGCTGCTGCGGCCACAAGGAGACCCCAGAGCAGGGTGGGGGCCTCCAGGGGAGACAGCTGGGTCCGCACCCAGTGCAGGGCGTGGGTCAGGGGGCTGCTGGCGCTTCGTGGTCGTGGTGGGCTCTTGTCCTGAAAAGGAGGCACAGGTGAGGATGGTCTCCAGGTGTGCGGCCACCCCTGAGCCCTCACCAGTTAGCAACCAGCCCTACCTGAAGCCCAAACTGTCTGAGCAGGGTTTCCAATGTCGGGTCCCCTAGGGTCACTGGTGGGAAGAACTGCTCCACCCATTGGCGGCGCCACCACTGGCTGTGGTAGGAGGATTGGCGATTAGAATGGGGCGGGCCGACCCAGGCCCCTCCCAGCCCGCGCCCCAATTGACCTCTGCTCCTCAGGCTGCGTGAACCAGTAGTTGTAGCGCTGGGCGCGAATGTAGGTGGGCGGCTGCTTGTGGAAGGGGTATCTGGTGAGGTTGTTCTGTACCAGGCGGATCACTGTGGGGCGGGACGGTAGGAGAGGAGGGAGGCTCAGCTCCCTTGGTCTGCCCTATACCCATGCCCCAAAATGGCAGACCTGCCAGGAGATTGGGATGATTATCCTCCTTAACGTTCAGGCAGAACCCCATTTACACACATCGAGCCCCGCCTCCTCCCATCAGGTCCAGGTATCCCATCTACTTTCTTTCGAACCGCCCCCGCCCACCTTCCCTCCACCCGGCCCTACCCTCCCATAATCCAGCCACCTACTCCACCCCGTCCAGCACTCCTTTCTTTACCTGGCTCCGCCCAGTCTAGCCTTCTACCCTAACTTCCGCCCCCATTGCTTCCTCCCCTTCCCAGGCCCCGCCCCTGTCCATCTGCTCTTCACCCAGTCCCGCACCCCCCCCCCATCATCCTTCCACCACTGTCTCACCTGGGTCCACCCCACCCCTCAACTATCTTCCCTCCAGGCGCCCGGCCCCGCCTTCGCACCACCTGGTCACGCCCTGGCCCCGCCTTCCCACCACCTGGCCACGCCCTGGCCCCGCCTTCCCACCACCTGGCCACGCCCTGGCCACGCCTCCGCCTGTCCCGCCCTCTCCCCTCCGGCTCACCTGGCTCTTGGCCCTGCAGCAGTCGAAGCACTAGGGCGGTGAACCAGGGGCTTTGCGTGTGTGGTCCCAGTGCTGCGAACCACATCTGCCAGTCCAGGCGCGGCTGGTGGGGTGTCACAATGGGCGGTGGCCGGCTCAAGTTTCCGGGCTTGTACATGAACTCAATCTCCTGCCGCACACAGTGGGTAGGGGGGATGTGGTCAGAGACCCATGGGCCGGTGCTCACCGGGCCGTCCACCATGGAGGCCGCCTGCGGGGGCTCACCGTCCACTGATGTCCGTCATAGCTACCCTCCAACACCACCTCGGGCCTCCCACCCAAACCAGTCATCCGGCGGAAGAGGCCATAGGAATTGGTCAGCTGTAGGTGTTCCACAGCGCCAAACAGACGATGGGCTCCGGTCCAGAGGCGCCCGTGGGTGTCTGGTTCCATGTAGGAGTAGGGTACCTGGAGGCAGGTGGGCAGAGGTCAGTGGGGTCCTGAGTGTCCATAGTGCAGCCCTCCTTCCCCAGAGGCTCACCAGGCTGATGGTGAACAAGGCCACTGTGGCCGTGCCAAAGATGGACAGCTGGACCAGAGACCAGAGTTTCCACAGCCACCCACGCACCTGCGTCCACCTGAGGGAACCAAGAGTGGTCAGGTCTGGGGGTGGACCACCGTCACCCCATGTACCCCTGCCTCCGGCCCGTGTACCTCCAGAAGGCAGCCAGCAGTTCCCAGGTGAGGGAGGCCCCGCCGAGCCACATGGTGGGGAGCATCACTGTCTTCAGCCACTGGGAGAACTGATGGAAGGTGAAGTCTGTGGGGGAGGGGAGTGGGTGTGAAGGCAGGGGGGAGGGGGGCAACTTGTCTTCTGGCCTGCAGTCAACACTTACTGGTTCTGGAGTGGACAGTGTGCTGCTCCCAGTTCACTTCTAGGCTGAAGTAATGGATGGTGCCATAGGCCAGCAGCGCATAAACTGTCAGCTCCAACAGCAGGGTCAGTGTGGTCAGAAAGGTCTTGGGCCAGGCTGTGGGGAGGATGGTGAGGGGTGACTGGGGATGGGAGTGGGGAGCTGTGGGAGAGCTAGGGCAGGGGCCGTGGGGGCTGAGGCAGGCCGCACTTACAGGCTGCTATTTTCTTGCGGCGGGCTCGGCCCCATTCAGCACCCAGATGCTCGTCATCGAGCAGGGCTGTGCTGAGCACCAGGGTGAGCAGGTTGAAGAAGTTGTAGTTGCCTGTGATGATGATGAGGATTTGCAGCAGCACCTGGGTGGGGGTGGGGGAGCCTGTACTCAGAGCTGGAAGGCCAGCCCTGGAGCCCACCTTGACGGGCCCCTCTAACATCCAGACCTCCATGTCTCCTTCCCCACTCTAGACCATGTCCCAGCCACCACTTGCTGGGCAACTCAGGCTTCTGACCGTCCTCCCCCACCATGGCTCATTTCCGCCCTCCCTCGTGCCTCAGCGCATGGCGTGTGGCCCTTCTCCACCTGGTCCCTGCTGCCCTTAAAGACCAACACACTGCAGCGTGGCTGCCCCTCACCCCCTGCAGGCCTACGCCTTGTGATTGCTGCCTCTCTGCCCAGGGGTGCTGAGGAGGTTCCCAGAAATTGAGTCCCGCTCACCTGGGAGTAGAAGGCGGCCAGGCGCAGGCGGCGGAGTGGGGCGAAGAACAGAAGCGGCATGGCGATCTCTATGAGGAAGGTGGACGCCACACTAAGCCTGTGCAGCCAGGCGGGCAGGTGGTGGGCGAACCAGGCTGCGGGCGTGGGCAGGCACTGCGTCTCGTAGTGGTAGGTGAGCGCTGCAGGGTGGGCAGGTGGTCAGGGTTGGCCGGAGCTCCCAGTCCACCCCAGGACCAGGCCAGGATCCTCACCGGTGAGGCCCCACCACGCAGGACAGCGGCTAGTCAGCTTAACCACACCCGAGGCAAACATGAGTCGGAACAGCAGCCAGCGCACTAGCCAGAAGGGGAGGTCCTCATGGGGCCTGGCTCCTGCGGGTCCACCCTGCTTTCCAATGGGGGGCTGCCTCAGTGGGGCTACCAGCATGGCCAGGAAGCCAGTCTCCAGCAGCAGGGAATCCCTAGAGGATAGGAGAGTACAAAGGGTGCCCCCTCACCACCATGACTGCCCCCCAGCTTTCCTGCAGCTGAGCCCAGAATACTCACCACTGGAAATAGAGGAACACCTGGCCCACCTGCAGAAAGAGGGGTTGGCAGAGGGCACAAGTGAGTCTGGGGTCTGGGCAGGGTAGAGATGTGTGAGGCAGGGAGCATCCCCACTTGCCTGGCATGCCGACAGGTAGGCAGCCCAGAGCAGCAGATAGGTGAGGCGATGGCGAAGTACACGCAGCAGCAGCGCGCCCAGGGCTAGCAAGGTGCCCAGCAGACTCAGCAGCTCCAGGCCCTGCGCAGTGTCCAGTCCCAGCCTGGGAGCCTCCCACAGCAGTGACGGCATCTCCCATAGCTGCTGCCAGCGTCCCTTGCCCTGGGGCCGGAGAGTCCTCCGAGCCGGCAAGATGCCCCCGGCACCATAGAGGCCTGTGGAGGGCACGTTAAGTCTAGGGCACTGCCCTTGCAGGTTAGGAGCCCCCCTCCCCCGCCCCAACAGGCTAGGACCCCCTGGTCAGACCCCGCACACCCTCCCTGATCTGGGTTAGGACCGCAGATCTCTCCTTACTGGACTCCCTAGGTCGGGATGTCCAACCCACAACTCCTGGTCTGAACTCTCCTTTCTACCCACTGATATGCGGAAGTTTCACCCACCCCCCAATAGGTTCTGCCCACCCCAGGTCAAAACCCGGTATCCCATGGGAAGCGGACCACTGCTCATACATCTACACCCACGATCCCTGCGGCCCGCAGGATACGGACAGCTTCCCCCTGCCCCAGTCCCGAGTTCAGGATCTCATTCCGGTCCCTTGCCCACAGACAGCAGAGCATCGGGTGGGGAGCGGACACTGGACCCCCGAGCACGGATTGCGCTGTGTCCCACCCACGACTCCCTCACCCGGGATCTGCATGTAGAGGGAAGCGAAGGCGAACATGAAGACGGCGGCCACGCCCTGGAGAAAGAGCTGCCGCGGGAGTCTGGAGCCCGCCATGTCCACTACGCGGCCTGCCACAGAAAGAATTCTGAGGCCTGCCAGGCCCCGCCCACCCCGCTACGTCCCGCCCCTCCCGGTAAGCCGACACAGCAGAGGCCCCGCCCTTTATTGGCCCCGCCCCTACGCAGGCCAGCCTGCTGCGCTCGCCGCGGCTCTTCCGGTGCGCTGGAGCCGGCAGCGCACGGCTTCACTCTTGGCAGGCCTCCGCTTCCTTTTGCGTCATAGGTATGCGCGCGGCGACGGGCGCTGCGTACTTTCCTGGGCGGGAACAGAAAAATGGCGCCAGAACTAGTAGCGGGCTGAAAACACTGGCCCCCCTCGGAAGCTGGGCCTGCGGTCCCAGCCCACCCCTGACGCGCGCCCGGCCCCTACTGGACATGGAGGACGTGGAGGCGCGCTTTGCGCATCTCCTACAACCCATCCGCGACCTCACCAAGAACTGGGAGGTGGACGTGGCGGCCCAGCTGGGCGAATATCTGGAGGAGGTGAGGGCGGCGGGACAGTGGCGCGGGGCCAGCGGGTCACGGGCCGGGCCGGCTCCGCTTGATCTCGGGCGCCGCTTGTGACATTAGCCCTGAGTGACCATTGCAGGTCGCTGCCCATTAGTGAACCTGGAGTTGTGACCGCTTTTTCTCTGACGAACTAGAGCAGGCGAGCGTCTTCGCAGTCTATGTTTGATCCTGTGTGTTTGTATGTATGTGCGAGAGAGGGCTGGAGCGCTGTGTGAAAGGGCTTCCTCCCACTTTGCAGCCACCCCGGTTCCATCTGACAGCCGAGCCTGGGCTGCACCAAGGTGCTGCCCGGGTCTCCCCGACACTGAACCTCGTTGTGCCGACTCAGGGGACGCTGAAGCGGCACCCCTTACTCCGGCTGCAGCCCCCTCCTTGAAACATTCTCATTTTCCTGTACGTCACTGGCGACTTTTTCTCCTCGCACGCTCTCTTCAGGGAGCCCTGGTGGCGCGGTAGGATAAGCACTGGACTGCTAACCGCAAGGTCGGCAGTTCAAGCCCACCAGCCGCTCCTTAGGAGAAGGAGGAGTCTTTGTGCTCCAGTTAAGGTTTACATCCTAGGACCCTGTCCTCTGCGAGTCCGAGCCGACTCCAGACGTGGGCTTGTTTCGCTTTCTTTTGGTCTCATCGCTCAAGCAGGAAGCTTCCCAGGGGGGCTTAGCTATAGAATGGTTTTGTGTTTCCGACTGTTCATGTGACGTTCCCCCGAGATGTCACAGCGGCATTAAAGGCTTTGAAAGTGCAGCTCTCGGTTTTTCTGCTCGTCACACAATGGCAGCGCTGTGCAGCCAGACACCACGGTATCTCCTTCATCCGTGGGTTCTGGCCTTCCTGCTTCCAGACGATGGTCGGAATTCACCTGCTGTCCGTTCGCGCTGGTCCGGAGCACCAGCGTCGCTGAGAAATCAGATCAGAGCTTTCCAGCCACTCCCTGCCTCTGCTGTGGCCCCGTGAATTCACGTGCCCTTCAGTAACCAGTGTAGCTCTTAACAATTCAAAGTGGTCCCCAGGTCTGGAACCGGACGAATTTCTAGGGAGCCGTGTTCTACCAAACAGTAGGCAGGTCTTTAAGGGGCCCAGTGACACTGACGAGGTATGTACACCCTAGAATAATCAATCACTGCAGAGATCAAAAGGGCAGATTTGTTTGTGGACTAAGTTTAGAAGGAAGGAAGGACTGAATAGGAAAAAAGGGAGGATCAGAACATGGGACCAGCCCGTGGGGTAAGTGATACAACCTTGTGGACGTTGCAGTCAGACAGAAGTTGTATGAGTTGTTCACTGGATAACGAATTTGCTCAATAACCTTCACCCAAGTCCCAAGAAAAGGTTGAAAAACAAAATCAAGGTTGGGCGCCAGCACTGTACTGCTTAAAGCCCACCCTTCCCGGGTCTCCTCGGCCCATCGGGCTCTGGCCTCGCCGCCCTTTTAGCCCCGTTTGGGCCATTCTCTGTCGTATTCTTTTGCACCAGTCAACCTGACATCTTCCTCCGCACTCTTGCTTGAGGGTCTTCACACTTTGTACTCTCACTTAGAACGGTCTCCCCCAAGGTTTTGTACAAGGGGGCTTAAAAAATTATTGGAAAAATGGAATTAAAAGACAATGGAATTTTTTCCACATACTTTTGGAAGTCCCTTTACATGACGAATCCTTCTCATTCTTTGGGTCTCGGCCATCAGGTTACTTTGCACATTTTAGAAGACTTAGTGTGATTTGCTCTTCAGCTTGTTCATGGTGTGTGTGTATGGAAGTTCTGGGAGGTACAGTTCCGCTGGCTTCCTCTGCTTCACTGATTACTCGGCACACAGTACGAGTGGACACTTGATCTGTTGTTTGACCTTCTCTGCTCCGACACAGGCTGCTGGGAAAACAGAGAACCATGCCAGGTAGAATCGTCGTGGATTCAGGTTTCCAAACTGAGCAGGTCCTTGGAGACACCTGATAAATCCGCTCCCCTGCTCCTCTCCTGCCTCCTGTTTCTATGCATACTAACTAACCTCTGCCCGTGAGGTTCTGATCGCTGCCTCCGAGTTTGTCAGCGTCCTCCCTTTACCCTTCCAGGTAGCATGTTCTTTTTTGATCTGTCTTATGTCGCTGTCCTCTGTCATCCTCAGCGTCGTTCAGTGATGCTGAGGGTCTGCTGGTGATAAACCTGAGGAGACAGTGGATGACAGTAAATTGCAGCTCCTGCTTTAATCAGACTTCCAGTCAGGTGGGGAGAAGTAACCATGCAGAGTAGAATTATAGTTAACATCTTGTGCTGTATGCATTTATATTCATCTAGTTGTGGTGTGATATTGTACGGTAAGCAGTGGACTGCTAACCGCAAGGTCAGGGGTCCAAACTGAGCTGCTTCTCAAGCCATATACAATGTTGCTGCAAGTCAGAACTGACTCCACTGTGCTTAACAACAGTCCTCAGGAAATTCCTGTTTCTTCTCATCTCAGAGAAGAATGAGGCACAGAGATGTTAGCTGACAAACTAAAGTCTGTGTTCCCAACCACTACGCAGCACCTTTGTGTGGTCAACTACCTGAATTCTGAAAGAAACGTGTGAAGAGTTTCACTGGGGACTTCATCTTGTTTGTGGTAACAGCAGATGCCTAGATGCGTTCCAGGAGGTGGAAAAGGTGTCTGTGTGACTCTGTTTTGGGTTTTCCATTAGGATTCTGGGAAGTCTTGGTGGCATAGTGGGTTACATGTTGGGCTGCTAACCTCAAGGTCAGCAGTTCGAGTCTATCACCTGCTCCACAAAGATGAGACTGTCTTGGAAACCATGGGGAGCGGTTCTACTCTGTCCTTTTGGATCACTGTGAGTTGGAATTGAGTTGGTTTGTGTGTCAGGATTTTAGGGCAGCGATATGGTTCACTTTAGGATGGGTGCTGGCTGGAGTACAGAGGAAGCATGGGAGGTAGGACGAAGAGAGCCCTGCAGGATGCTGTGGGCGGGCTGAGGGAGTCACCGTGCACATGGAGCAAGATGTTGGCAGGAAACTGAGAGGTGAACAAGTGCTGAGGAGGGAAGGGGCTAGATGCCTGGACACCAAGGTTCCTGGGCAGGTGTTTGTGGGAGCGCATCTAGACATCAGTGTGGACTTCGAGATAAATTTCCATTCACACCCCCAGATGGACGTGTGAAGGGAGCTGAGTCTGGGAGTCGTTACAGGTGGAGCTAGGTGACTGAGGTGTCCAGCCTGCCTGCTTTCCCAACCAGCCCACACGCTCCTTCCTCCCTTTGGTGGTGGCCCCAGCCTCTGGCTGTCCTTGGTGTGGTGTGTTTGAAAGGCGTTGGTTTTCCTAAACAGCAGCCCCCTTCTCTGCCAGGCTGGTGTCTGTTTGGTTTTCAGGCTGAGCCCTGGCATCACCACTGCCTTCACTCGGTCAACAGACACTTATTACTCACACCAGGGCCAGGCTCCGCACCTGGGGCTGGAATCACTTTCAGGTAGCTCCTGGCCCAGTAAGGGGACAAGGGCTGTGGGCAGACTGCACTGGTGGAGCGCGCAGAGCCCACAGCAGGGTCCAGATCAGTGGGAGTGGGGGGGCTTGCAGAATCGCTCATGATAGAGCTGTCTGCAGCACCTGGGTCTCAGGACAGCTATGGGGGCGTGATCCCAAGCGGACCTTCACAGTGCCCCTCACTGAGGGGAGCCGTGGAGGATCTGTCAGATAGGGCTGGGGGAGAAGCTGGCATACGGCGAGTGGTAAGGAAAGGAGGGGACTGATGTTTCAGCTGGGGAGGAAAGGAAGAGAACTTACCCCAAGTGTCTCAGGTTCTCCAGGGATGGACATCCTGTCTTCCCCACCCCTGAGATTTCTCTTCTTGGGTGGGGCCTGTGTGCTGGAGAGTGTGGGTAGGGTTCTGACTTGGGGGTAGACAGGTGGGTATTGTGCGGTGCCCGCCCCCCTCCTCACAGGAACCTGTCACTCTGGCGGACTGGTCTACCATACACTCTGGGAACCTCCTTTTCCAATATGGTTGATCCCAGAGATCATAGAAATGGAGGGAATCAGATCGCACCTCCCCCAGAAAAAGGGAACCCACAGTGGAGTGGGAGCTGTCAGGCGAGGGGCAGCTGCTCTGGGCAACCCTGGGTGGCCAGCGTCATTTGGTGGGACTGGGGGAGAGTGGACAGGATAACCGGGGCCCCACTCTGACGGGCTCCCTGCCCCCTGTCTGCGGTGTCTTGCAGCTAGATCAGATCTGCATTTCTTTCGATGAAGGCAAGACCACGATGAACTTCATTGAGGCAGCGCTGCTGATCCAGGGCTCTGCCTGTGTCTACAGTAAGAAGGTGGGCCTGCTCGGGGCTTGTCCTCCTGACTCCTCAGCTCCACTCCCCAGTCCGTGTCACTTCAATGAGCAGCTTGGATTTGACGTGGCTTTGCATGGTGTTGGTGTTGGTGTTGGCGTTCCCTGTAAACAGGGTCAAGCGCACACCAGGTGGCACGCCTGCAGTCTTGTCATCCTCGCAGTTCCAAGGGACCTCGTAGCTGCCTGAGACACCAGGGTCGCAACTAGAGCTGTGGAGGTGGTCGGGGGCCAAGCAGGAACTGCTGAACAGAGCTCAGGCCCTGTGGGAGGAGCAAGAGAGGGGCGTGGTCATCAGGGCCTGGGGGAGGCCTTCACTGGGTGCCCGGCAGGATGGCCTCCTTGTTGGGTGTGAGAGGGTGTGGGCAGAGGAAGTGAAGGGTTAGTGCTCCGGGTCACTCACTTCTGGAGGCCCCCTCACGCTTGCTCACTCGCTCGCTCTGCCGGCAGGTGGAGTACCTGTACTCGCTGGTCTACCAGGCCCTTGATTTCATCTCTGGCAAGAAGTAAGTACTGAGGGTGGTGTGGGAGGTGGCCGTTGGGGCTTCCGTGAAACTCACATGGGGGTGGACCCTCTCTCCCAGGCGGGCCAAGCAGCTCTCCTCAGCGCAGGAGAATGGGACTGCTGGGGACGGCGACAACGGGTCCCTTCGGGAGCCCGAGGATGAGGTGAGACGCGTTGCCGGGTGGCCCTGCCTGGGTGGCTGGCTCCGGACTCTGGCTGCCTCCGTGACTAGCATTTCCCCGTAGTTCCTGTCCCTGGATGAGCTGCCCAACGAGCGGACCTGCGTGGACCTGAAGAATGACCAGGCTTCGAGTGTGAGCACCACCCGCCCTCTGGCTCTCCTGAGACGATCCGCTGGTGGGAGGGGTTGCCGGGCAGTGTGGGGGACACAGCACTCACCCCAGCTCCTGGCCCTCTTGCAGGACGTGGTCATTGTGCCCCTCCTGCCCATGGCCCTGGTGGCGCCGGATGAGGTGGAGAAGAACAGGCACCCCCTGTACAGGTAGGGGCTGTGCCCGACGGCGGGGGATGGGCGTGGGGGTGGGCTCGTCTCCACAGTGGATGTGTTTTTGTCAGCACAGCAGTCAGGGGGAAGTCCTGGCCAGCCGGAAGGATTTCAGGATGAACACATGTACCCCCCACCCCAGAGGAGCCTTCATGCTGGAACCTGTGGGTCTGGGCCCCCAGGAGGACCAGCTGCCGAGAACCCAAAATGGTGAGCAGCTGGAGACAGGGCCTTTCAGTGGACACCAGTGTCGGGTCCCCCGCCTGCTGAGTCACCGATTCCCAGCTGCCACCTGGGTTACGTGACTCTCCTCCCTCCCAGGCCTTCTGCTCCACTCCGGATGGGTTCTTGGGCCTTGTCCCTTGTCGTCCCTGTCTACCTGACTTTGTGAGCTGTCAGGGTCAGAACTGACCTCACTCGGATTATCTGACTCAAGGGGCCTGCTGGCTCTGCAGACACCGGGGAGGGCCTTGTGGAGGGGACTGGGTGGGCTGATTGACATTTCCGCAGACCCCGGGAGCGCTGAGGAGCAGCAGCAGCCAATGGAAGTCTCGTTGGACGGGAGCCCTGCGCCTGCGCCTAGCTACTCCCCAGAGCCAGGTAAGAGCACCCCGGTGGAGTGTGAGAGAGGGCAGGGTGCTGAAAGGGAACAGTTCCCTCAAGTTAAAAAGGAATGTAGGCATGCAGGTGTAAGGGCAGCGTTTGCAGAATAGACCGAGCTATGCAGCGTCTACACCCAGAACCCAAGTCTCCTTCCCCCTGGTGTTTGGCCGGGGGCACCCCCACCTCTCCACGGGCACGCTGTCTCCCTCTACGCTCGCATCTCAGGGTTTTGCTCTCCTGTCCTGCTCTCCCAGAAGGCCCAATGGCCCAACATGGGGAGACCGACGGGGAGGACAACGTGGAGGCAGACATAGATGCAGAGCTCCCTGAGGCCATGGTGCCTGAGGTCCCTCAGGAGCCGAGCCCACAGCAGGTAGGACCCACTGAGAGCAGACCGGCAGAGGCAGGGCAGGGCGGCTAAAGCTGTTCCAAGTCCACACTCGGAGTGGGAGCATCAGTGTTCTCTGGCCTCCCTGGCCTCAACTGCAGGGCCAGGTGGGGGTCTCTGCTTACCGGCCTGGGCAGTGCTGAGCCCTCTGCTGGTAAATCCACACCTCACACCTCTCTGAGCACGACATCCACTGCTGTGTGTGGGGGGGTGGGGTGGGGGGGTAGGTAGGGAGTGGAGGATGAGGTGTGGGAGGAAGATGAGGGACTGGGAGGAGGGTGAGGGATTGTGGGAGGAGGATGAGGAGGTGTGGATGGAGGGTGAGGGATTGTGGGTTACCTTTGCAGAGTGCCGACCTGCCCCAGAGGTACATGCTGAGAGAGAGAGGGAAGGCCCCTGAGTCCACGCCCTGGCAGAAGGTGTGTGAGCATCCCACCCTCCCCTCAAGTGCTGTTGCTTCATCTACCTGTTTCCCCCTCCCCGCCTTTCAGCACCTCGTCTTTCGCACACACCTTCTTTGAGGAATGTTCTCCCCAGATTAGCTCCTCTTGCAGCTCTGATGTACCTCCACTACCACCCCCCTCTCAGCATTTGCTTGTGTTCTGTGCTTAGAAGGCCCCAGACCCTTGGCAGAGCCTGGACCCCTTCGATTCACTGGACTCAAAGCCCTTTAAGAAAGGTAACAGGGGTCATGAAGATGTGGGGGGTGAGTGTTGGGTCCTGGCCGGGAGCCTGGTGGGGGGACCTGCAGTTGGGCTCTAGGACAGGGTCCCCACTTGTCCCCAGGCAGGCCCTTCTCTGTGCCCCCCTGTGTGGAGGAAACTCCAGGGCAGAAGCGGAAACGGAAGCGGGCCACCAAACTGCAGGACTTCCACCAGTGGTACCTGGCTGCCTGTGAGTGTGCAGGCGGGGGTGGGCAGGGAGGTGGCAGGCCTTCGGATGGGCTCCTGTTGACCAGAAAGCTCTCCCAGATGCTGACCACACTGACAGCAGGAGACAGCGGCGGAATGGCCCATCCTTTGCAGGTGAGGCTGGGGTCCAGTGGCTAGGCAGTCCCTGGCTAGGGTGGGCAGGGGGTACCTGGAGGCTACACAGAGCCTCTATCTGCAGACATGGAAGTCTTGTACTGGAGGCATGTGAGGGAGCAGCTGGAGACCCTCCGGAGGCTGCAGAGGAGGGAGGTGAGTACCATGTGCTGGGGCCGTGCCGGCGGGCCCTGGATGGCAGGTGGCATTGCCCCTTACAGGTGCCTCTTTTGGACAGGTAGGGGAGCAGTGGCTGCAAAGGGCTGAGGGGTTGTGGTCCGAGGAGGAGCAGCAGCTGGATGACCCCCTCGAGCACCTTGGGGACGCAGGTGGGAACCTGGTTACTGGTGGGGGGGCAGCAGTGTCTGGGTACCTGCTTACAGTCTTCCCATCTCCCAGAGGATTTCCTGGAGCCTGAGGATTACTTGGAGGCAGAGGGGACGAGACCTGAGGAAGCCAACGACCTAGGTAGGGTCAGGAGTGGGCAGTGGGCCAGGTGGTAAAAAGTGGCCTTGAAGCTAACCCCAGCTCACGGTCGCCTTTCTCCCAGATGCCGAGGCCAGGCCGCCATCCCTGAGCTATGAGGAGCTGGTTCAAAGGAATGTGGTAGGCCTGGGTCCGAGCTGGCAGGGCTGGGGCACCTTGGGTCCTGCACAGTAGGCCGAAGCCTGTGTCTGTTCCCCAGGACCTCTTCATCGCCACCTCCCAGAAGTTCGTCCAGGAGACAGAGCTCAGCCAACGTATCCGAGACTGGGAAGGCACCATCCAGCCCCTGCTCCAGGAGCAGGTGAGCCAGTGGGTTCCCTGCACAGTGAGACCCTGTCCCCAGTACAGGAGCGGTGGGCTGGGCGCCACATGGCTGGGTGGGCCTGCAGACAGCACGCCCCTCTCCCGACTCAGGAGCAGCACGTGCCCTTTGATATCCACACTTACGGGGACCAGGTGGTCTCACGCTTCAGCCAGCTCAATGAGTGGTGTCCCTTTGCCAAGCTGGTTGCTGGCCAGCCTGCCTTTGAAGTGTGTCGTTCCATGCTGGCTTCCCTGCAGCTGGTGAGTGGCCCTGGGGCAGGGGTGGCAGGTGGTGGTTTCCAGGACCCTGGCTGACGCCTCCTCCCCTCAGGCCAATGACTACACAGTGGAGATTGAGCAGCAGCCTGGGCTGGATGCTGCTGTGGACACCATGTCTCTGAGGCTGCTCACACACCAGCGGGCCCACAAGCGTTTCCAGACCTACGCAGCCCCCTCCATGGCCCAGCCCTGACCCAGTATACAGATAGTGTGGGGAGAGGGGAGGCTAGCGGGCCCCTTGCCTCGTGTGTGCTGGACACAGGATACCTGCACCTTGGCTGGCCCAGCCTAATAAAGTGGCATTGCCATTCCAGCTGCCCACCAAACAACTTTAAAACTGCTCTGTGACGAAAGGGGTGCCCAGCCCTCTCCGCCTGGCTCCTCTGGGAGCTGAACTTGCATTGTGCCGCCCTCACACAAATGCGCACGCGCACACACGTGCTGCTTGGGCTCCTTTAATGACTTGCAGGCAGTGTAGCTCAACCCAGGACACTGCGGAAGGCAGCCATGTGTCGTTGCACACTGTCTGCGATCTGCCCGGCCGACTTGCTCCGGCTGTAGTAGTCGGTGAAGAGGCCGTCAGGGTTGAGCAGGTAAATGGCGATGGAGTGGTCCACGATGTAGTCCTGGTCCTCATCCTTGGGGCCAGCGCTGTAGTACACACGGTAGCTCCGACTAGCCTGGGCCACCTGCTCAGTGGATCCCGTCAGACCTAGCAGCCGCGGATGGAAGTCCTGCACGTAGCGAGCCATGGCTGCTACGTCATCGCGCTCAGGGTCCACAGTGACAAAGACAGGCTGGACAAGAGGCAGGCTGGGCTGGGCCTCCAGCCGCCGCACCACCTCCACCAGCTTCTCCAGCTCGTCCGGGCAGATGTCTGGGCAGTGTGTGAAGCCGAAGTACATCAGCACCCACTGGCCCCGGAAATCAGCTTTGCAGCGGGCCTGGCCCCGGTGGTCCAGCAGGCTGAAGTCGCCCTGGCCCACGGCCACCTGGCGCAGAGCCTCTGTGCGCTGTTGCTGCCGCCGCTGCTCCTTCTCAAACCTAGCAGCCAGCCAGGCCCCGCCAAGCCCTGCTCCAAACAGGGCTGTGATGAGCAGCCTGGTCCGAAGTCCAGGGCCCTGGGGTGGGCCTTGCCCTGATAAGAGCCGGGGCCTCGGAGGCATGGCTTTGCCTCCCAGGGTTCCAGGAGGCAGTGAGATCAGTGGCTTGAGCTGGGAGAGTCCCTGCCAGGCCTTGGGTGCCCGAGCCTGCAGTAGCAGCATGGACCTGACCCCTGTGAAAGGAAATGTGTCAGGAGGCAGAAGGGGGCCACCGCTCTGAAGGACCCTCTCAACGCTCACACTTAGCTGCGCTCCAAGATTGCCCTGAGCAGAGCTCCCCGAACCTTCAGTGTTCACCGCTGCATCTGATCCGCCCTAACCCGCGGCCTCCCCCACCTGGTCCCCATCCGCTGGTCCTGCGGCTGTGCCTGCCCCCTCAAAGGCGAAGTTTTTTTCGGTGCGCTTGTCTATTTGTAATAAACACCTCTTTCTTGGAAGGAGAATGAGTCTAATTTTAAATCTTCAGCTAAGATGTCCGCTCTCCATTCCAAACTGCTTGGGTTCACGTGCGGGCCTGCCCTCCACACTCGAACCTATGCTTGCTCTGGTGACGGGACCACGTCCCTTCCACTGGTCACCACACCCTCCCTCTTCCCGACGGCGCGGGCCCCGCGGAGCATTGCGGCGCGTACACGTGCAGATACTGCCCCGGGGGCTGGCGCCCTCCCCGACACCCCTGCTCCCCAGCGGACCTCGCGGCAGGAAGCGCGGACTCGGCTCCGTGCGCGCTGGTAGTTTACCGGGTTACCGGAGTGGCTTGGTGCTAAAGCGCATGCGTTAACGGTGCTGCACAGGCGCAGAAAGGCAATGCGAGTGGCCCGGCTTAGCATTTCGCATGCGCAAAGGGTCGTCGGAAGGGTTTTAGGTCACGTGTCTTGTAATGGCGCTCTTTCCCCACCCCGTGGATCTTTACCTTCGTTACTCTCTGGTCCATCCTCTCGCGCCGGACACCGATTAGGACGGAGAGGCGGGCGCAGCCACGCAGCTCTGGGACCTAATTTTGTTTCTCCCGGGTGCGCGCGGATAAGCGGCGAATGAGCCCGCTCCTAGAGCACGAGCGCCCCCTACAGATTACGGCACTGGGTTCGTCCGGTGCCCGCTGATCCTGGGCGCCCCTGCGATGGGGCGAGGGTCTTCCGCGTCCACGCACTTACCGTGTCCGGAGACCAGGTCCTGCAGGCCCCAGGACAGCGTCTCCTCCACCTCCTGAGGCCTAGTGGGTGTTGATACAGGTTTGGGTGACTGTGACCCAGTATCAAAGTAGTGTCCACCTCCACCTGGGACACGGAGCACTAACCTCTAGGAACTCTGAGGAGCTGAGGGGTCTAGGAGACTGTGGAAGACAACTGGCCTGGAGGCTGCAGTAGGGAGTCGCCCAGCTATAGAGGCACGAGGGGACAGAGAAAGGGATAGGATGGATGGGTGACCAGGCTGCAGACAGCACGTATGACGTGGACTGTGGGTCACACCAGGAGACGTGCCCACCACGTCAACACAGGCACAGGGACCTCACGTGGGGTTACACTACACACACACACACACACACACTCACACTCCGCTCCCAACGTGAGGCTACACCTCAGACTTCTTTGGTACAAGTGCTCACCAGCTCTGCTGCCAGCTTAGGTCCCCCAAACTTCACATCTACCACTAGACCTATCCTCCGTGGCCTTCTTACTGAGAATGTAGGCTGTGGGGTCGTGGGCAGGGAAACTGGGGGGATAGAGAGCCTGGGGCCTCCTGGGAGGGAGCCACTGACCCCAGGATACTGGGACCCCCAGTGGGTTGAACTCCAGACCACTCTGCAGGAGTTGAGGGTTAGGCATCCTGTGATGCAGGGGCAGAAGCATTGTGGAGGTCAGAGATCAGGGGTTGAGTGAATTCAGATCACCTGTGATGAGGGGACCCTAACTCTCACCTGTGGTGAGAAGACCCTGAATCTGGAGGTTGGAGATCTGTAACATACAGGGCTGGGGTCAGGTCACCTGCGACGAGGGGGCAGGCTGTCTACAGGGGCAGTCACATTCCTGGGTGCATACAGGATTTTGCTGGCAGGAACCAGCTTCTCAAATGTCGCAGGATACAGCAGTCCACTTGTTCCAGACAGACCCTACCTCAGGATTCCCAGTGACCTCTGATTTTTGACCCCATCACTGAGCCCAATCCACCATTCACCAGCAGTCTTGATGTATCTAGAACCATGACCACTGACCATCAGTGACCCATGACTGTGGTCCGTCCTGAGAGAGTGATCTTTGACCCATCACCTATCCTGATCAGTGTCCTGTGACCCAGAATGATTGATCAATGGTCCATCAGAGACTCGACTGGGATGAAGCTCCTCTGATGACCTTGAACAAAGCCTGAGGATCATCAGTGGCTTATGAATAACTTGTTTCCTTATCAGTGGTCCTGATTAATTCAGTCATTCATCTAACGTATCCAGGGTGACCCCATGTGCCCCAGACCATCATGTCCACTGATGACTAGCTCCTTGTGGGAGGGCCTCTCTGTGCACCTGCCTGGTGCCCCACCTCCAGCATGTCCTGTGCTGTGTGTCGTCCCCCCCCCCCCCCCATGTCCAGCAGACCCTACACTTCATCCTCACTCCCCCGGTTAAGACTTCAGCTGCAATTGTTAAGTGCTGAGGTGCTGGCTTTAATTCATAGTGACTCTGAATAGAGTTTCTGAGACTTAAAGTTTTGTGGCATCAGAAAGCAGCTGGTGGGCCCAAACTATGACATTGTGGGATAGAGTGTGGGCAGCTAGAGGGGGAGGCTTGGGGTTTACAAGAAGTGATTCTGTGGATGGTCCTCAGGGCAGATGGAGTCACTCATAGATCTGCATGCTCAGTGCTCTCCTGTGCATTCTTGTGTGCACCAAGCCCTTGATGACCACCACCGCTCTGTTGGATCAGCTTCAGAAGCTGCCTGGGTTCCTGAGCGGTGTGTGTTTCTGCACTCCGAGCCCTGCCCCCACCAGGACAATGGTTCTAGGCCTGCAGGTGTTCGGGACACACCTGCCACTTCTGCGGCCCACTGTCCCTTTCCTGCCCCTGCCCCCGTGTCTGCCCCAGTCTGCATGTCTGTGGCTGTGCCCACTTCTCTGTCCTACAACGTGTCCTCCACCATCCTCACTTGTTTCTGCTCTGGATTCCAGCCGGCTCGCTGCGAGTGGCCACTTGGACCATCATCTCAGAGGGTCTGGGGTGGGATGGAGCTTTCAGCAGATGGAGGAAGCCCCTCGTTGCCCACTTTCTGCCCTCCCCACCATCACCCCATGACCGACAACGCAGATGTGCAGAGACGCTGACACTGGATGGCGTGGGACCTTTTAAGCAAACATTTGTGGGGCCGCGCCCGCCTGCGGGTCAATCATCCATGTTGGTCAAGATCCGGGCCTGGTAATCAGAGTGCCGGATCCCGAAGCTCCAGCCGCCAGGCTTCCGGTGCTGTGGGTGATAGGGATCGCTGACCGCAAGGACAGGCCATCCGGTTTCGCGTGCCCGGAACCTCAATTCCTGCCCCTGCCCCCTGCCCCCCTGCCCCTGGACACCAGGCCACCTTGTCCACGTTGTAGGCTGCGGGCCCTGGCTTCTGGGTGTTGTCTTCTGGTAATGAAGTTCGCGCCAGCATGGTGAATTGGGGGGCCCGGGACTTGTAGACCCCGGGGCTGACCACGTGGTAGGCGCAGGGGCCTGGCGTCTGCTGAAGGCAGGGCAGTCGCTAGGTTTGGCTTCCATGCTGCGCTGACCACCAACCCTGCCCTTGATCTCTAGCGGTTCTGAGGACCCCTTATTACGTTGAGCCCTGGCGGTCCCTCTCCCACCTTGCTGAGATCCTCGAAGAAGGTGCCCACTGCGCTGCGGCCGTAGATGGAGTAAGTTGGGGCGGAGATTTTGTCGATGGCGCGGGAGCCCAAGAGGGAGGGCACCGTGTAGGTTCCGGGGCCTGGAGCGGGTGAATTAGGCCAGACTGGGCTGGGGTCATGAGGACAGGCCCAGGGTTTTCCCACACCCCAAGTGCTGGGTGGTCCCAGCGCCTGTGGTATGCACCATGGAGGGCGGGCCCGGGGGAAGGCAGGGGAGAGATTCCACAGTGCTGGGACGGTCTTAACCTGGGGTTTGCTGATCAGATTGGACACCCCAGTTTCTAGGTGCGATGGTGTGCCGAGGCGCGCTTGGGTACGCCACATTCCCAGCTCGTTCCGGGAAGTATCTGCCTGTGGAGCAGACGGAGAGTGTGGGCCGGACCTGCGGGGACTGGTTGGGGCTGGGGTCCTGGGACTACAGGGAATTGGACCCACTATTTGTCAAAGCCCCGTGGGAGTCGGGGTTCTGGATTTTGAAATTCCTGACATAGGGGTCCTGAATCTGGGATGTTAGGGTCCCCGAGAGGGGCTCGGGGTTCATGTGGGAATTCCCTGGAGGCGGCTTGGCGCTGGGGAGGTGGGGGTCCCAGGTGGGGGTCCTGACCCGGTCCGGGAGTGTGGAAGCGCGCCGCGTCGCGAGGGCGCCCGTAGATGGAATAGGAGGGGGAGCCGTCGGGGCCGCGCACGGTCATGCGGGCAGGCACCAGGTGGCCGGGCCCCGGGCTGCACGATTGCTGCTGGGTGGGGAGGCGTGCACCGAAGGTGTAGGCGGGGGCGCGGGGCCGAGAAGGGTCGTGGAGGATATAGCCTGAGGGAGTGTCCCAGGGTCACCGCTGACCGTTCCCCTCCCCACGCCCGCCCTCTTCCTGAGGCATAGTCTCGGCCCCACCTTCTTAACAGCCCCTAGAATAGAGCCTTCCCCAGGCCGCATCCTCCAGCCCCTACTTCCGCCCCCCACTAAGCCCCTTCCCCTAGTGTTCGCAGCCTGGGTACCCGTGTTCGGCGGCAGCTTGTACTTGGGCCCCGGGCCACTGGAGAGCGCTGCGATGGGCCCGCGGGGTCTGTGTGGCCGCCACGGGCCGACCCAGATGTCTGAGCCCATAGCTCCAGTGGTTGGAGCGTGCGATCGGCGGCACCTGTGGATGGGAGGGTGGCGGCCCCGATCCTCCCTCCACCCGAATTCACGGAGAGCTCACCCCCAAGTCCCATCCCGCTCAATTCTATTCCGGAGGCGGGGCACACCCGGTATCCCAGGCGCTAGGAAAACAAACAGTAGCTTTCCTGGCTCCGTGGTGGGACGTGGGGCGGGGCGTGGATCGGGGACAGAACTTCAAGACCATCTCCCGTCCTCTGCCCACAAAATGAGTTCGGAATGGGGTATGTGGCCACCAGTTTTGGGAAGGAAATCCTTCAGGTTTTCGAAGCCGGGAGATCTTGGACGTCAGACAAATATATCCTGGGGAGGGGCGGGCGTGGGGGCCCCGGAGCACCAGAGCCCCTGATGTATGAATGGACGACTGACCTGTTCTGATGGCTCCCAGCGCGGAAGGCAAGGTGGGCTGGCGGGTCTAGCTGGACTTCCTCCCCCGCCCAGCCCAACTCCCAGACCCCATTGTGTCCCTGTCCCGCTTCCTGGCAACCTGACTGACCTCTCAGCACCCCAGCCTGGCTCCGCCCCCACTCCCTGCAGCGTTTCTGGCGGAGCCTCTCATCACTCGGCCTGGACTGCCCATCAGAACACATAGCCTCGCGCTTCTTCAGGCTTCGGTTCACTCATTCCAGAAATGAACAGATCTGAAGACAAAAATAAATTCCGGAATAATAGAATTGAATAATCCAACCAGCAAACTCAATCCGATTGAAATTTGTAGGACAGCTTGCATTTGTTAAAGCCCGTGGAATATTTGCAAAATTCCTCGGCTACAAAAAGTCGTAAGTCATATATGTTGAACAGAAAGATATAATAGAACATATGATTTGATCACATATACTTAGAAAGTAATAAGTCTGTTTTGCAAAACCAAAGCAAAACCGATGAATCAAAAAAAACACTAAAATCTGCAGTTACAAATTTATCTATACAACCTTGCAAATCTGGATCCCTTCATACCTACAGGATTCAACTAAAGCTATGTTCAGAGGAAAAGTTATAGCCTCAAATGACTTTGTTATTAATCAAGAAAAATTTAAAATAAAGGAATATAGTATTTATGTTAAAACATTATAAATAATCAAATAAATGTTCAGAATGAAGTAGGAACTAACAGAAAAGTAGAAAGGATAAACACGAGAGCCATTTTAAAAAGACCAATAAGTAGATAAATATTCCAGAGATTTCCACCAAGGGAGGAAAAAGCAAAAGTAAACAAGTTTAGAAATGAGAAAATGACTTACTAACAACATGTTAGGTGCCATTCCATTGAGTCGGTTCCAACTCATAGCGACCCTATCTCTGCACAACAGTGTGCCTGGTTCTGTGGCAACCTTATAATTCTTATGTTTGAGTCCATTGTTTCTGCCACTGTGCCAATCCCTTTCCTGGGGGGTTTTCCTCTTTTTTGCTGACCCTCCATTTTGCCAAGCATGATGTCCTTCTCCAGGGATTGGTCTCTCCTGATAACATGATGGACGTATGAGAGACGAAGTCTCACCATCCTGATTTCCAAGGAGTATTCTGGCTTTGCTTCTTCCAAAATAGATTACTGTGTTCTTCCAACAGTCCATGGTACTCTTAATATTCTTCTACAACACTATAACTCAAATGCATGAGTTCTTCTATGGTCTTCCTTATTCATTGTCCAATTTTAACACGCATATGAAGGGATGGAAAATTACTACATAGGAGAGAGTAAAATGGTTTAAGTTTTCATCGTGTGACTCTGTGACAACAAATTTGAAAATCTAGAAGACACGAATGATTTTCCAACAAAATGTTGTTGTTGTTGTTGTTGTTAGGTGCCATCGAGTTGGCGCCGACTCATAGCGATCTTATGCACAGCAGAATGAGACACTGCTTGATCCTGGGCCAACCTCACTACTGTTGCCACGCTTGAGTCCATCGATGCTGCCACTTGGCCAATCCATCTCATTGGGGGTCTTCCTCTTTTTCTCTGACCCTCCACCTTAGCAAACATGATATCCTTCTCCAGCGACTGCTCCCTCCTGACATGTCCAAAGTATGAGAGACGAAGTTTGGCCATCTTGGCCTCCAAGGAGCACTTTGGCTACACTTCTTCCAAAACAGATTGGTTCTTTTGGCAGCTCATGGTACTTTCAATATTCTCCTCCAACACCATAACGCAAAAGCATCAATTCTTCACAGATCCTCCTTATTCACTGTCCAGCTTTCGCATGCATATGCAGTTATTGAAAATACCATGGTTTGGGTCAGGCGCACCTTAGTCCTCAAGCTGACATCTTTGCTCTTCAACACTTTAAAAAGGTCTTGTGTAGCAGATTTGCCTAATACAATATGTTGTCTGATTTCTTGACTGCTGCTTCCGTGAGTGTTGATAGTTGATCCAAGAAGAATGAAGTCCCTGACAACTTCAATCTTTTCTCCGTTGATAAGAATGTTGTTTATTGGTCCAGTGGTGAGGATTTTTGTTTTCTTGACATCGAGATGTAATCCATACCAAAGGCTGTGCTCTTTGATCTTCATCATTAAATGTTTCAAGTCCTCTTCACTTTCAGCAAGCAAGGTTGTATCATCTGCATATCACAGGTTGTTAATGAGTCTTCCACTACTTCTGATGCCATGTTTTTCTTCATATAACCCAGCTTCTCAGATTATTTGCTCAGCATACAGGTTGACTAAGTATGGTGAAAGAATACAACCCCGTCGCACACCTTTCTTAATTTTAAACCTTTTGGTGTTCCCATGCTCTGTTTGAACAACTGCCTCTTGGTTCATGCACAGATTCCTCATGAGCACAATTAAGTGTTCTGGAATACTCACATTTCACGATGTTGTCCATAGCTTGTCATGATCCACATAATCGAAAGCCTTTGTGTAGTCAGTAAACCACAGGTAAACATCTTTCTGATATTCTCTGCTTTCAGCCAAGATCCATTGGATATCAGCAATGATATCCCTCGTTCCATGGCCTCACTATCTTGAAATATTTCAATTTGTATTCCATCAATTCCTGGTGCCTTGTTCTTTGCCAATGACTTCAGTGCACAAAGGACTTCCTCCTTCAGTATCATTGGCTATTGATCATATGCTACCTCTTGAAATGGTTGAACATCAACCATTTCCTTTTGGTACAGTGACTCTGTGTATTCCTTCCACCTTCTCTTGATGCATTCTGCATCATTCAATAATTTGCCCAGAGAATCTTTCAGTAATGAAAGTCTAGGCTTGAATTTTTTTTCAGTTCCCCCAGCTTGAGAAATGCTGAGTGTGTTCTTCTTTTTTGGTTTTCTGACTCTAGATCTTTGCACATTTTGTCGTAATATTTGGCTTCATCTTCTCGACCTGATCTTTGAAATTTTCTGTTCAGCTCTTGTACCTCCTCATTTCTTCCATTTGCTTAACATCTCTACACTGGAGAGCAAGTTTCAGTTTCTCTTCTGACATTCATTTTGACCTTTTCCTTCTTTCTTGTCTTCTCAATGACTTTTTGCTTTCTTCATGTATGATGTTTTTTATCATCCCACGACTCTTCTGGTCTTTGGTCTTTAATGTTTAATGTATCAAATCTGTTCTTCAGATGATTTCTAAATTCAGGTGGGATATATTCAAGGTCACATTTTGACTCTTGTGGACTTGTTTTCATTTTCTTCAGCTTCAGTTTGAATTTGCATATGAGTAATTGATGGTCTGTTCCATAATCTGCCCCTGGCCTTGTTTTCACTGATGATATGGAGCTTTTCTATCGTCTCTTTCCACAGATGCAGTCAATTTGATTTCTGTGTATTCCATCTGATGAGGTCCATGTGTATAGTCTTATGCTGTCTAAAGAAGGTATCTGAAATGAACAAATCATTCGTTTTGCAGAATTCTATCATGTGTTCTCCAGCATCATTTCTATCACCAAGGCCATATTTTCCAACTACTGATGCTTCCTCTTTGCTCCCAACCTTTGCATTCCAATCACCACTAATGATCCAATACATCTCGATTGCATGTTTGATCGATTTCAGATTGAAGAACTTCGTAGAATTCTTCTATTTCATCCTCACTGGCTTTAGTGGTTGGTGCATAAATTTGAATAATAGTGGTATTAACTGGACTTCCCTGTAGGCACATGGATATTGTCCTATCATAAACAGCCTTGTACCTCATGACTAAGATGGATATATTCTTTTTGACAATGACTGCAACACCATTCCTCTTCAATTTGTCATTCCTGGCATAGTAAACCATGTGGTTGTCAGATTCAAAATGGCAAACACCAGTCCATTTTAGCTCACTAATGCCTAAGATAGTGATGTTTATGCATTCCATTTCATTTTTGATGATTTTTAATTTTCCTAGGTTCATACTTTGTACATTCCATGTTCCAATTATTAATGGATGCTTACAGCTGTTTCTCTTCATTTTGAGTTGTGCCCCATTAGCAGATGAAGGTCCTGTGGGCTTTTCTCCCATGAGCTTTACTCCATTTAGGTCATCACAGTCAACTGTACTTTCAGGAGGCAGCTCTTCCCCAGTTGCATTTTGAGTGACTTCTAACCTGAGGGGCTCATTTTCTGGCACTATATCTGATAGTGTTTCTCTGCAGTTCATAAGGTTTTCAGTGACTAAATGTTCAGAAGTAGTTTGTCACTCCTTCTAGTCTTTCGTCTGAAAGCTCATCTGAAATCTGTCCAATATGGGTGACCCTGCTGGTATTTAAAATACCGGTGGCATAGCTTCCAGAATCACAGCAACTCACAAGCCACCACAGTATGACAAACTGACAGACGAGTGGTGGAAATATTAACTACTTCCCCCTTTTAGTTACACATTTTGTACAGTTACAATTGTGACAGTCACATTTAATCCTGTTAACAATTGCTCACAACTGAACCATAAAATGCTATCACCATCATCCCCCATTCCCTTTCACCAGAGTCATCTGATAAAGAGGAAAACTATTCAATGGGAATTCTACA